CGCTTGGGCCGAGCTGCCGCCCGCCCCCACTCACGGCGGTGGTCCGCCAGGCTATTGGAATATATTCGACTGAAGCTCTTGCAGAACCCCATGGGCCTTCTTCCGCTTGATTGTCCACGAAAAAAGCCACAAGCAGCCGCTTCAAAAAAGAAGGGATACCGCCTGGGATTTGCCGCGAGGTTACAAACTCCAACTATAACACCTGGGGGGGCATCGGACAGCCGCGCGAAGAGCATCGGGCGGCAACCGTCGGCGGCCGCCGCGAACAACTTGAACCCGAAGAGATTTCTGACGCTGCGCAGCCGAAGGGCCCGAAGGGATTCTACGAGGGGGTCTCGGGGCGGGCTGGGTCTGATGGGCCCCCCGAGCCTTGCACCAGATGTCGCGATGCTCCCGGAAACGCGAAATTAAGGCCAAAGATAAGGCTCCACCAGCGTGCTGCACAGCGTCTGCTACATACCCAGCCGAGATCTTGGCGCCCCTGCGCCCTCGCTTCGATCCCGTTGCAATTGCTTCCTCACGCCACTCCCCACGAAGCCCCAGAGCCTCTGTCCTCTCCATCTTCAAATAAACACCGCGCAACTCATCCAGCACAGATCCAAGTCCCGGCCGAGCACGCAAACGTGCCCAGCGCGCTGTTCGCATTCCAGGTCAACTCGCGGCGCAACTCGCGCCGAACTCGCCGTGGGAAGTCCACGGGGCCCTGAACAGGCCTCCTCTCGCAGGTAGCTGAAAAGTGCGCTGAGCTAAATCCTAAACGGATTTACCCTCGGATCCCCGGAAGATAAGAGACCTGCATGAGCTCCCTGATTCCCCCCCCCCGGGGCCCACGCAGTGCGTCTGCCTCCGCCGGGGCGGTGATTGCGGGTTTGCAATCAGACGTTCAGAAAGCCGACCAGCTCCAAACAAAAATCATTGACCTCCTACCAGGCTAGCCGAATCCGAAGCGCGAAACCGATCTTCGAATCCACGCCAAGTTACGGCCGCCCAAGACGGGCACACTCTGTCCAGAAGCACCCGCAGCCTCGCCACCCCCTGCGGGCTCTCGAAAGTAGGTTCCGGACGGGCGGCGGAAAGCCTCGAGCGGGGAAGCAGCAGGCGGCGGCCCAACAGGGCCCAGCGGGACCTCCGCGGCGATTTCGGGAATCCACATAGCCGTTGGACTTAGATCTCTTCGGTAGCGCTGCCCATGGTCATCGCCACTGGCTTGCGAGGTAGACTGTCTGCATCTTCGCCCGCCAGCTTCCTGTCCGCTATGGCGCACGCGTGGGCGCCAGGCGCACAAATCTCTCCACCGTACTGACAAGGCCCCACATGCTCGCGCTGCGCCCCAGGGTTCACGTTGCAATCACCACCCGCGACAAAAGGAACACCCGAGCTCAGGAGACGGGCCCCAAGAATCTGGATAAAATCAGATTGGCCCTGCCAGGTCCTATAGAGCCGACCCAGTAAATGCTACACAGGCTGACAATCCCAAAAACCCAGCGCCCCCAGGAAAGCACGCACCAATCTCCCAGGAGCCAGGAAGCCAGAAGAAACGGATGAATGCCAAGAGGTTAGATGCCTACGAATTTAACATCCCCCCCCCCCCCGAAATCCGATTCTCAGAGGTGACCATACATGGGTTCCAGAAACAAGCCCACCCTTGGGACCGAGGGCGGGCTGAGCTTCTGGGATCTTAGACTGTCGGAGCCTGTGCTCCAAAAGAATACCACGTTGACGGAAGGCGCCGAGCTCAGGAACCTGAGCGCCGTGCGCCACGACGAGGTATGTGCAGTGACGTATCTCACGTGGGGGTTACACCGACCGTTTGATGGGTTGGCCCTTGCCATCCACCGTTCTGGCTGCAGCGGCCTCGCGGGCAGTTAGGGATCTCGACCTGACACCGGCTGCTGCTGCACTGGCACTGTCACCCCCGGGTTTTGGTTCCGCACCACGTCCCCGCCGCGAAGGTGGCTGAGGTGGTCCCGCACCTGCTGGCTGAGCATCGGCTGCTGCGGCCCCGCCTGTGTCCACCAAGAGCGCGGAGAGCTGCTGGAACATCGTCGAAAGCTCGGCCTGTTGAACAGAAGCCACGGCGCTGGCTCGCTGCTAGCGCGCCGCCAGTAGCGCAGCAGCAGGTATTCTAGACAGATCACGTGGAAGTTCATGTTCCTGCTCAGGGGACACTGCTTCGGCGAATCCCTTCCACTTCTCGTCCTCGGTGATATTGGTTTTTGTCTCCTCGATGGCTTATTGTTCATGTCGTACTGGGGCCTCCTGCTGTTCAAGATGCTGGCGTGCGTTCTCGACCTTGAGCTTGTAGTACTTGAGTTGCTCCTGATGGTTCTCGACTTGTTTATGATGTTTGATCTGTCGGTCCGCCGCGGCATGCAAGTGGGCGCTGAGGGGCTTGGCCGCCGTGAGTTCCTCTCGCAACGTCTGGAGCGACGACTCCAGGGCCTTCTGGGCTGGTTCTCCTCGGTCACCGAGCTTCCGCATGATGTCGAGCGCCTGCTAGGATCTGGATCTGCTGCCCTGAAGTGGCATGGGGCTGGCGAAGAGCACTGCCTTGCCCTGCTTCCATCGCCATCGCCTCACCTCCAGGTGGCGCACCGACTGGCAGACCTCCGAAGCCAGGTGGAAGATCTCCTCCCACGAGTTGTCCTCCAAGTCCCCCCGCAGCGGGTCCGTTGGCTGGCTGGCCTCCGCGACGGGGTTTGTCCTTCTTCTTGGACTTGGTGCCTGCTTCCTCGTTCGCATCAACTGCCTTGGCAGTGTAGTGCTCGCCACAACGCCAACACCAAAACATATTCCACGAGACTGACGCCTCACAGCACATGCAGGTCCAGCTGCAGGCCTTGGCAGGGTTCCGTTTCAAAGAAGACCAACTCATCGCCGAAAGGGAAGACCGAACGTGAACGTGGTCACTGATTGTCTGCAGGCTGCTGCAGGTTGTGAAAATGATGGTAGAGGGGCCCCCGGTCGTGCCGACCACCTTGAGTCCAAACGCCTTGAGCCACCCTCCTCCGCCTCCTTCTCCTCCTCCTCCTCCTCCTCCTTCTCTTTGTGGTATTCATCCTCCGTTTCCTCCTCCTCCTCCTCCTCCTCCTCCTCCTCCTGATCATCATCATCATCATCATCATCATCAGCAGCAGCAGCAGCAGCAGCATCAGCAGCAGCAGCATCATCAGCATCATCATCAGCAGCATCATCAACATCAGCATCAACATCAGCAGCATTGCCAGCACCATCCTCATCCTCATCCTCACCCCCATCATCAGCATAAGCATCAACATCAGCACCAGCATCGGCGCAAGCATCATCATCATCATCATCATCATCATCATCATCATCATCATCATCATCATCATCATCATCATCATCAGCACCATCATCATCATCATCATTATCATCATCATCATGAGCATCATCATCATCAGCATCATCATCATCAGCATCATCATCACCAGCATCAGCATCAGCGTCATCATCATCATCTATCATCATCAGCAGCAGCATCAGCATCATCATCATCAGAATCAGCATCAACATCCTCAGCATCATCAGCATCACAATCAGCATCATCATCAGCATCATCATCATCAGCATCATCAGCAGCAGCATCGTCGTCATCATTATCATCAGCATCACCATCGTCATCATCATCATCAGCATCATAATCATCATCAACATCATCATCATCATCACCATCATCATCATCATCAGCATCGTCATCATCATCTACACCATCATCATCGTTATCATCAGCATCATCATCACCACCACCACCACCATCGTCATCATTAGCGTCATCAGCATCAGCAGCATCATCTTTTTTCCACGGCAAAAAAGCAGAGGAGAAGGAGGAGTCCGCTGCCCCTCAAGAGGGCTATATCCGAAGCGCACCCCGAAGGAAATCGAAAGCCAAAGCTGGCTCCGCACAAACGGAACCAACACAAGTCACGCCCTATCGAGTCCGAATATCTGTCCGGCGGACGTGGCCGAAACTCGGGACACCGATTCGGAGGAGAGGGGGGGAGGAGGAGGAGGAGAAGCGAGGAAAAGGACGGGGGAAAGGCTGATACCAAAATGGCCCAGAATCATATCATCTGCCACCGGTGCGCTTAAAAGTCTGGCACCTGCCAGAAGTAAAAAAAGAACTGGCAGAAGGCAGAAGGGAGAACGGGCAATAGTACAACAGATGTATTGGCCTCGGCGGTCATCGCCCGACTGCCTGACAGTCAGGGCGCCCACATGACCACTGCAGCGCAGGCGCAGAGCAATAGGGTACACAGTTTCGACACCGAGGAAGTGGAAGCAGAGAAGAGAGGGGAAGACCAAAGGTATTGAACGGGGAGCCTGAATGGTCACGCTCCCAAGCGAAGTGAGCATAGCCACGACGCGAGACCCAGAGGTAACGATAATTATGACAGCAGCCAAACAACGAACAACATGCAAAGGGGGAGAGGAGGAGGAGGAGGAAGAAGAAGAAGAAGCCGGAGAGGCACGATGCGCCTAGGCGCCTGGCTGCCTGCGCCGAGACCTGGCGAGCAGCCCGTGGAGAGGCCCTCGGGCGCAAGCCTCGCGCACGGCAGCCTTGAATCATCATCATCATCATCACCACCACCACCACCACCATCATCATCATCAGCATCTTCGTTCTCCTGTTCGCAGCCCGCCGCCTCGGTTCCTCCCTGGCCGCTGCCTCCTGTCCCCACCCCGGGAACCCTCGCCTCTCTTTCCCGAGGCTTGGCGCAAGCCCTCAGGCCGAAAGTGCCGAAAAGGCTACGCCTCAATTTCCTGAAAGGTCTGAGTCCTGAAGGTCTCTCCGGGCTCTCGTGGGTGAAAAACCCCAGGCCGATCTCCTGCCTTTCGCTACGCTGACGGTCTACCGCGTGCCTCTCACTACGCCGAAGGTCTGAGTCCTCCGGACCCTCCTTTCCCCTCCTCCTCCCCCCGTCGACACTCCCGTTATCCTCGGCCGCTGCCTTCTCCCCCCCCCCTCGGAACCCGCGGTCCTCCGTCTCGCTCTCGAGACTGGCGTCCCCCGAGGATGTGGACGAGGAGCAGCTGGCGCCCCGCGAGCAGCCCGCTCCTGGCCCGCGGCCCACGACCACCACCTCACGGCGCAGGCACCTCCCCGTCCTCCTCCTCCTCCTCCTCCTCCTCCTCCCAAGGGCCAGCAGTGAATCCTTTCGTAGGCAGCCAGCGATTGATTGAGTTGATTGCCAGAGGTGCTGTGCCCAGTGACATCCTCTCACGTCGTGAGGGGCGAAATTGGACCAAGCAGCGGGACACCGCAGCTGCGCAACGGGAAACCGTTGCCACAGCAGCCGCCCCGCCTACCGTCGCTCCCGGCCAGGAGACTGAACAGAGTGGGCAGGCTGTCTCGCACACGTATGCCTCGTCATCTTTGCCCCCCATCCCTGTTGTCATTCTCCCCTCCTCTGTGCCGAAAGGGAAGGGTAGGGGCCGAGGCAGGCGTACAGACACTGCTGCCCCTGCCGACGCAGCTGGAGGCCCCGCGGCTGCCGCGGCTGTTGGCCGTGCAGGCCGTGGACGCGGCTGGAGGGCCCGCGATCGCAGGGAGGGTGGGGTTGTGCGGACGGGGTCGGAGGCGGGTGCGGGGAGGGAGGACGATCAGTCAGTCGGTCCCCGATGAGTGGCACCCGACCCTCCAGGCTGCGCGCCATCGGAGGGGGGCCGCCACTCGGGGCTGCGCGGCTGTGTGGCCGACTGGCCATAGGTCGCATTCATATCATACAGGCGACAGTCGGTTAAATTCCGACGCTCAGAGGCAATCCAGTTGTTTGGACGAACTTGATGGCCCTCCCAGAGCTTTCTATTCTATTCTATTCTCTCCTCCTCCTCCTCCTCCTCCTCCTCCTGATAATCCGTTGTTTCTCCTTCTCAGCAGCAGCAGCAGCAGCATCAGCAGCAGCATCAGCAGCAGCATCGTCGTCGTCGTCGCTGCCCTCGTCGGTCGTCGTTACCGCTGCCTTCTGCAAACCCTCGCGCCTGAAACTGCTGCCGATCATGCTGCTGCTGCTCCTGCTCCTGCTCCTGCTGCCAATCATCGTTCCCCTCCCTTGCCCCATCATGCTGTTCCTCCTGCTCCAATTCATCGTTATCGTCGTAGCCGCCACCGTCATAACCATCAACAACGTCAGCAGCATCATCATCATCATCATCATCATCATCATCATCATCATCAGCATCAGCATCAGCATCAGTATCATCATCATCATCAGCAGCAGCAGCAGTATCATCATCATCATCATCATCATCATCATCATCATCATCATCATCATCATCATCATCATCATCATCATCAACAGTCAGCATCATCACCACCATCATCAGCATCATGATCCTAATCATCATCATCATCATACTCATCATCATCAGCATCAGCATCAACATCAGCATCATCATCATCATGAGTATCATCAGCATCATCAGCATCATAATCATAATCATCAGCATCAGCATCAGCCTGATAATAATCATCATCATCAACATCAACCTCAGCATCAGCAACAGCATCATCATCCACATCAGCATCAGCATCAGCATAAGCCTCGTCATCAACATTACCAGCATCAGCATCAGTATCAGCGTAATCATCGTGATCCTCGCTATCACTGGCATCATCATCAACATCAGCATCGACATCATCATCGTCGTCCCTATCACCGTCCTCATCATCATTATCATCATCATCGAAATCGGCATCGTCTTTATCCTCGTCATCGGCGTCGTCATCATCCTCATCATCACCCATATTCTCGCCCTCATCACCATCATCATACTCATCATCGTCGTCATCAGCATCGTCAGCATCATCCTCGTCAAGGTCATTGTCATCATCACCAAGAAGGCCAGCACCAGCACCTGCACCATCATGATTAGCATCATCACCATTAGCAGCAGCAGCAGCATCCTCGTCATCAGCATCATCATCACCATCAGCACCACAATCATCAATATCAGAATCATCATAGTCATCGTCATGCTCATCATCAGCATCATAATCATCATCATCATCGACATCAGCATCCTCATCATCATAATCAGTGTCAACATCACCCGCATCAGCATCAGCATCATCATCAGCATCATCAGCATCGTCATCATCATCATCGGCGTTGTCGCCGTCAATCACCATTGCCATCGTCATCGTCATCAATATCACCCGTGTACTCCAAGTCATCCTTCGCGTTCTCATCCTTCGCCTCCTCCTGCCCACATCATCAACAGCAACATCATCATACTCATAATCAGCATCAGCATCAACAACCACACATCATCCAGCATCGTCATCAGATCATCAGCAGCAGCATCAGCAGTAGCATCCTCGTCACCATCATCATCAACAACAACAACAACACCATCATCACTAACATCATCACCACGGGTATCGTGGGCATCCCCAGCATAATCATCATCATCATCATCATCATCATCAGCACCATCGGCAGCACCACCTCCGCCAGCATCACCATCATAGTCACGATGATATTCAGCATCAGCCGCAACAACCCCATCAGGCTCAGCGTCATCAACATCATAATCAAGATCGCCCCCATCATCAGACCCATCATGATCATTAAGCTTATCAACAACATCGTCATCATAATCGGAATCATTCTCCTCATCACCACCACCGTCACCATCACCATCGTCATCCTCACCGCGATCTGAATCCTCATCCTGATCATCATCACCATCAGCAGCAGAATAAGCTCAATCATCAGCAGCATCGTCATCATCATCAGCATCAGCATCCTCATCATAATTATGAGCATCATCCTCAACCTCATAATGATCATCATCATCATCATCATCATCATCATCATCATAATCAACATCATAATCAACAGCAGCATTACCAGCATCACCGTCAGCATCAGCATCAGCGTCCTATTCATCAGCAGCATCATCATCATCATCAGACTCAGCATCTGCATCAGCATCATCATCACCAGCAGCATCATCACCATCAGCGTCGGCATCATTATCATCATGAGCATCGAAATCACTATCAGCAGCCGCATCACCATCATCATCGGCAGCATCATCACAGTCTTCAGTATCATCACCATCCTCGTAATCATCCTCATCACCATGATCATCCTCATCACCGTCCCGATCCTCATCATCACCATCACCACCACCATCATCGCCACAGCAGCATCATCATCATCGTCCTCATCATCATCATCATCATCATCATCAGCATCACCATCATCATCATCATCATTAGCATTATCAGCAGTTTCATTATCATCATCACCGTCATCATCATCATCATCACCATCATCATCAGAAGCAGCATCAGCATCAGCATCAGCATCATCGTCCTGATCATCACCATCATCATTATCATCGTCAGCAGCATCAACATCAGCATCAGCATTATCCGCAGTATCATCAGCAGCAGCAGCATCATCACCATCGTCGTAATCAGTATCTGCATCAGCATCAACATCGCCATCGTCATCACCATCAGCGTCGTCACCAATCGAAATCAGCATCATCAGCATCATCACTATCATCATCATCACCACCATCATCAGCAACAGCATCAGCATCAGCATCAGTATCATCGTCCTGATCATCACCATCATCATCATCAGCATCATCGTCATCCGCATCATCATTACGATCACCATCACCATCACCATCATCATCATCATCATCATCATCATCATCATCATCATCATCATCATCATCATCATCAACATCGTCATCTGCATCGCCACGGTCGGCTTCTGCCCGTAGTTTCGCCGACAAGAGACTGGGTTCACCGAAAAGGAGGTCAGGTGCGCACGCTGCGACACGAATCTGCTCGAGACCCCGCTGCACAGACACTGGCAGCAACGCAAGCAGACCAGCCTGTGTAAACACAGGAATTGGAGTAAGTAGCCGGCGCGACGCTGACAAGTTCTCCTGTTTTTGGCGTCACTATTTGGTCCCAGTAACCTGGACTCAGAATCGGAGTCTAAGCGACATCGAGAAGCACTGTGATTGGGACCTCGGCGAGGTGTTGCGCGGTACGGGCAGCCAGTGGTGGGCGGGGGGGGTTACGACTCGGGAGCCGAGCATTCGCAGGACCCCTGGCTGCACAGAGCAGGCTGGAGCTGCGTCGTTGTCGCGGGAAGGGGCATACGCGGTGCCCGAGGCTGCAGCTGCAGCGCCAGGCCTGCGCGGGCGAGCGGGCAGTACCCCAGGGCCCGTCCAGACCATCAATCGTGGGGAGCTGCTTGCGGCGGTGCTGTACGCGGACGAGCGCGGTGCCGAGGGGCAGGACCTTGAATACGTCACCGACTCTGCGTACGCGGCCGCGTGTGGATTCGCCACTGCGCTAAGAAGCCGCGCAGCCACAACGACTTGTGGAAGCGGCCCCGTGCTGCGAGCGGTGCCCGCGGGTGCAGCATGACGGTGCGCAAGGTCGAGCCGCGTTTGCACGCTCGCTTAAACAAGGCTGCGGAGGAGCTGGCGGCACGGACGGCACAGAAGGTGGCGCGAAGCCACCGAGGCCCAGGCGGTCCTGGAGGTAGGCCAACGCGCTGCCCAGGTACGCCAGCGCCAGCGGCCTGCGACTATAGGACGCGGGAGGCGAGAGCGAGAAGCTACCACGGCAGCGGCGTGAGGCGGACCGCTGGCCAACACCCACCCCCTTCGACGAGGCACTGGCGGCGACGCCAAGAGGCGAACGAACCTAACTCGCTTTTGACCGCCGTCGCTTCCAAACGGGAACCAAGCCATGCCAAGCTAACCGCGGAGTGGCCTGCAACGGTCAGGCTGCTCGACGAGGAAGCGCGTGGTATGACTTGGTGTTGCTTGAAAGCGGAAGCAGGGTATGTAATTCACTCTCTGCCACACAGCACGACGTCAGGATAACCCATGATCGAATCGACAAGTCGGATCGGCGATCGAAATGAATTGGATCGCCAGAACTCGGAAGCCATGTCAGGAAGAGTCGAATCGGCAGAAATCGGCAAGCTCGTAGGCCCCTATTGAGAGACCGAGGCCCGCATCGGAATCCGAAGCCGAATCGACTCAGCATCGGAAGCCATCGAAATTAGAAGAAGAAAAACGGTGTAAACATACACTT